TCGTCGATCTGCCTGTTCTGCTCCTCACTCTGTCTCTGGTGAAGCCTCTCGCCGCCCCTGAGCCTCTGGCCTGTACCCCAGTTCTGTAAGCACAATTAAATAAATCTTTAAAAAAAAAAAAAGAAAAAATGATTTTAAAATATGTAATGTAGTAGCCATCCCCAAAGTCAGAAATGGACAAAGACACACGCTCAGAGTGGTGTGGCCTCGCCCCGGCCCGGCGCCCCCACCCCACTGCCCCACCTCCTGGGTAGCGCCTTTGGGTCTGTTTAGGCGCCCCATGCTTCTCTGTGAACGTGTGTGTTTTCTGGGCCTGCACCAGGCCATGGGGGCTCTGCTGTCTGCACGGACCCGCACCCGGCCAGGGCCTGCGGAGCCCGGGAGCTGTTCCTTGCTCGTGGTCACTCCCCAATGGGCCTTTTCACACTGTTGGGCTCAGCAGCGTTTGTGAAGCTGCTGAGTACTTTCTGGGCTCCTGGGCATGACACCCCCAGGCATGTGTGGGGAGAGGGAGGGTGGGTCTGGCCAGCACCAGGTCTTTCTCCGGAGGCCGTTGAGGGCGTCAGGCCGGAGGTGCTCGCTGCTGCCCCTGAGCCTTGGTCCAGGATGGGCGGGGCTGGGCAGAAAGTCAAGGAGAGGGGCAGGACACGCGCAGGGAGTTGGGGGGTGCTGGGCCAAGGGGCAGAGCAGGAGAGCGCGCCGTGGGGGGGTGTGGGTGTGGGCTCCTAGTCCAGGAAGCATCAGGGAATAAGGCGGATGAGCAGGTGGGGCCTGGGGTGGTGAGTGTGAGGCAGAGCTGTGCAGAGCCAGTGTTGAGGCGCTGACCGTGGCCGCCCGGCTTGCCAGAGACAGAAGATTCACAAAGAGCGCGCTGCGTCTGGTACAGAGAAGCGTTCACGTGTCCTCAAGAAACTGGACTACGGAGCAGACGTGGAAGGGTGCGAGCAGGAGTCAGACCTCAGGCCCTTTTCTTCACCGAGCGAAGACGCAGGAGCACTGACGGCTGTGTGGAGGTGAGAGAGGCTTTGGCGCCATCGACGACGGCGATAGCAACTCTGTTTGGCTCGTGTTTAAATTGTCCAAGTGTTTTCTGGCCTTTGGAAAATACGTCTGTAAACGTAAAGCAAAACAAGAAAAAGTGTGGCTTGGTACGAAATGGGAAATTCAGAGGTTCCTGTCACGTGATTCCATTTCTAGGACATTTTGGAAAAGGCAAGACCATGGAGAACATGGGGCCGCGGTCCTTGGGGTGGGCGTGAGGGCCTGGGGCTGGGGTCGTGCGACTGTACATGTCGTGAAACACATTGAGCTGGTGGGTTTTACTGTATGTCAGACACACCTGCTGTGTCTTAAAAAGGGCAGGAAGCGCGGGCCTCGTGGCCGTGGGGCAGTACACAGCCGGACAGGAAGGGCCCAGACCTGGAGCGGTGGCTTGGGGACTGTCGGCTGAAACCATCACTGTCATGAAGCAGATTCAAAGTTTAGTGAAAGAAGCTTACCACAGGGCCCTCCCTGGCGGCGCAGGGGTTGAAGCGCTGCACCACGAAGCTCTCGGCAGCGGCCACAGCAGCGAGTTCCATCCCCGGCCAGAGAGTGACCCGCACGGTGCGGCAGATCTGCTTTGTCTCCCCGCTGCTCCCCTCAGCAGTGCACTTCATCCATCTGCCTGTTGTGCTCCCCACTCTGTGTCTGGTGAAGCCTCTCACTCCCTGCACTCGGCTGTACCCCTGTTCTGTGTGCATCAATAAATACATCTCTTAA